TAACACAGCGAGGATTCCAAGTAGAGCATCATAGAGCATCTGAGCGACCGGGTCGCAGATTTCTGGGTGCTCGGCTGCTGCAGCGGGCGCAGCCGGTGGGCCTGCAATAAAATGCTGTCAGATGATTGACATTCCGAAAGCAAAGCCGCCCCTCAAGCTTGTCGCACCTCTGTCTCAACTTGTGCCTCCACAGATGATGCAGCAGATTCCGGCCTCAGTTCTCCCCACATAGCTACATAGCTACACAAAGACTATTGTAGGCTGATGTAGGCTGGCCATTCTGGTCTGTTGAATTGCCACTGAGCAGCCGCCTTTTCCTATACTTTCCGCGCCTTCGAGGTTCTTCATTCCGCACATCGACCTTAGAAGAAGTCCACTCTGCAGCTCCGGAGCGGGTCACTCGGATCGCAGCCTCTTGATCTTCCTGGGGCGGCAAAAATGCCGAGCCTGCCAGATCGGACGAGCTAACTGCTGCGACTCGGGGCTGCTGCAACTCGCTGGCGCAGGGGATTCGTGCGAGGAAGCAGCACAGAAGCCGCCCCCCGGACTCGCTCTTCGGGAAAGGGACTGTATAATACCTGAAACCTCACTGCCGCTGCACACACACGAACAGCACTAAACATCCAGCAATCCATACAGTGAACCCATATCTTCCTAAACAGACAAAACCAGCAACCCAAAATACACCCTAAAGCAAACACTGAACAAAAAGTCATAGACAGCGATAAACAAAGAAATACACCCTCAGCACCCCCACCACAGGAATCCGAAACCCTACGGCCCTACACAAGACCCTGTAGAACCTGCAAAACCTGAAACCCTCAAACGCAAATATGCCAAACCCTAAACGCTCATACTTGAATGGTGTTGCCTGAATCTTGAATCATGGTGCTTGAGTCGGTTGATCGAATCGCGCGAGATTCAAAAACTAGCCTCAATACGCACCTGCTTGAACCGCCGTGCTTGAATTCCAATATCGTGTGACGGCTGCTGCGAGTCACGAAGGCTCAAGGTCAAGGCCCACCTGGTACCAAGGTGCTGAGGCTGGATCCACCTGACGCATGCAAGCAGCCCGTCGACATCCCCCAAACAATCGGGAATGAGGCTGGTGCCGTCTCCAGCCACGGATGCGCCAGTCCCAGCATCTCCTTCTGCAATGTCCCTACGAGCACGTGTTCCACATGCTAACGCTTTTCTTGCACAGGCTCCGAAACGCTGCCAATGTGCTCTTACCGGAAGTATGTTGTCTTTCCAGTGAATTAGGGGCAGCAGTCTCCAAGACTCCAGCCAAAACGACTCGGGCCTGAATGGGGCTTTCAGGATACACCTGCGATGTGGATGTGTCAACAGGAAACTATACCTTTGCAAAGAGGCACACGCACACTCACACACACACACACACACCTCAAAAACCAAAAACGAAGCACAGAGCAGTCTCTGAATAGTGCTATGGAAAATGACAACGGCTCCGACGGTTGGGCAGATCTCTCGAAAGCAAGACAACTTCGATTCCGATTCTCCCGAGAAGAGTGCACAAGCTCAGAAGTTGAAACAAGAGTTCACGCTCCGTTGTGACAAAATGCGCGTACGAGGGGATGCTGTGTCACACAGGCTCCCAGGTCTCCTTCAGGTTGCCCAGTGTCGGGTTCTGCCAAAGGAAACACAGCAGCATCGGCGGATTACTCGCAAACACATGCTCTCGGTACCGAGAGTGCCTTCTTGCGGAAGCTCTGGTGCCGCGGCCACCACCTCGATTCGATTCCCCGAACCGAGCGCCTTCCTGTGAAAAGAGAGACTGCAGCCCACCAAGCGCCTCGGAGGCGGCAGAGGGGCCCAGCGTCTCCGCTTCCACGTCTGCGCGAATGCCCAAATGTTTGAGGCTGCCTCCACTGCAGCTCAAGAGAGGACCCGTCACACGGTGAGGGGACTGAACACATCTGGGGTGGAAAACACAAGAAAACGGGTGGCCCTCCAGCCCTTCCTCACCTTCCTCATCACGATATAGAGGTCGGAATCGAACGTCCTCGTGACAAACGGGAACAGGCAATGTCAGTGTCAATGTCACACCATGCGGCTTCGGAGGCTTAAGACAACCCAGTCCGGACAGCGCCCACCGATTTCGATTCGCTGAAAATAGGCAACGTTGGCTTGCAGACCCTGAAGTGATGCCTGGCACGTTGCCCGGCATATCGCAAAGCTTCATCATACATCAGTGAAAGATTGGGTGCCTTCACCACTTTCAGTGGCTTGTGCCCACGTCCAGAACGACAGAGCTCCTACAGTCGTCTTCCCGACCAAAACATGCATCGTTGCTTGCAGCACGCTTTCCCACCTTGCCGGTCCATCCTTGTTGAAACTCGCATGCACGGCTGGAGTCCTCGATGTCAGGTGGCGTACAAACGACTGAGGATTCTTTCAGTCGCATGAGCTCCGGACGACGAAGTTGATCAGGGCATATCCGAAGTTGTGCCCCGCCTACGACGCGGCACGGCGCTGTGCAGCACAGCCCATTTGGCTTCGACCCGGTCGCCCGGCCTTGTGGTCCCAGGGGCAGTAGAAGAAGTCGAAATTCCCACGCATCGTGGTCGTCAGGTCCTGTACCGCTTTAAAGCGGCGACAAGGGCTCAGGGGGCGCGGAATTCGTGCAACCCGAAATCTCCTCGAACATGGACAGTAGAGCACCTCGCAAGACGCAAAGTAAAGCGGTATGTCCAGAAGATGCTGAGGCAGCCTTGTGTCAGATAGGTCGGAACGTTGCTGATAAGTAGCGTTGTGACCTGCTCACATGTAGCACGTGTGCAAGGATGTCAAAAAAGGAGGCTCTGACTGCTACTGTATCCGGCAGCACTTCGAGCCACAGCCACATGGAGCTTGCCTGCTGAGGATTCGCGCTGTGAGTGTCACTTCCCGAACTCCTGAGCAGAAGACGGACAGGTGAATGGAGATGAAGCAAAATGGCACTCAGCATTTCGGCAGCAAGATTTCGAGCCGACAACACAGATGCCTCGTCGGCCGACGTGCTGACGACTTGGCCTCTGGGCTAGGACCTGAAATGCCGAGTCTCGCTCGTGCTGCTACTCAGATGTCCTTAAGGGCAGGCGCCTGTGCGTGGACCCGTGGTCGAGCTGGTCGCCTGACAAGGCCGCAATGGCGGGGGCCGCAGCAAACTTCTGCAAGCCCATCGAGGCCTGGCCATTCCCTTGACCTCGGCGAATCTGCGCAACGGGACGAGCCCTGCGTTGTTTCGTCTCGGGGCTCCGGGCCGCTGCTGCTGCTGTCACTCGTTGCCGGCGGCGACCCCGTCCCGGTGTGCTCACTCCTTCCGACAGCTTCGTGAATCCCTAAGAGAAGGCGAGGGAATCGGATGCATCAACCAGTGACCGGCCTCGGCACCGCGGTGACGCTCGAGTTCACCGACGCCCAGGAGCTTCCGTCGGAATTCTCGTTCCTGCCCCGAACTGAAGGCCAGTGTCGAAGTTTGCAAGCCCGAGCAGGCCTCTCGTTGCGTTCGTTCCAGGAGGAACACGGCAGCGATGCCCGACTTCTCGCTTCGGAGCTCTGTGGATCCACCTCTTGAGAAAAGCGCAAGGCTGGTGAATGACAGTGCCGAAGCTGGGCCTCCCCCGCTGCGCGGGGTGTGGGGGCAGAACCACCTGCACAAGGATTTGAACAGAAAATGTGCGGCAGCCATGAGAAACTGTTCATTTTCGCGATTCTCAGCCTGCACGACGAACATGCTTAAGTCTCTAAGTGCGAGGCTGTTTTCGTTGCTGGACTGGCCACTGGTGCTACCACCATTGGCGGTTGTGCTTGCGCAAGTCGCTTGCGACTCCTTGCAAGATCACTGGCCAATGCATTGCGAGCTTGCATAAAACCTGCTGACAACAATTCCTGCTGCGAACTGGAGTATGTCTGCGTTGGTCGCGCGGTCAAGGAGAAAAGGTCTTTTTGAGGAGACTCCTCCTGCAAGCGGCGCTTTCACCTTCACTGACAAACTGCCATTGAAAGCTAAACCCCTGATCGAATCGAAGGGACTTTGCTCAGCTTCTCCTCGATGGATTGACAGGAAGCTGACGGCGCGTCCTAGCTAATGCACACGCACCAACCTTCCCCAGAAATTGCACCGGTACACTTCGCACACCTCCAAACAAGATAACCTTCAACATGGTGCAGGCTATCCCTGCCAAACACGACATGCACGAGTGATATCAGAGCGGTCCGTTGCAGGTGGCTGCACAGGACGCAACTCGTCCTGCATGTGTAATTGACATGTCCAGTGCCGTGCACAGACACACACTGACAAATACCCAACACACAGGAGAAAAGAAACCGTCCACGGAATGCGCAAAGCGACACTGGCTTCCATGTTTGCACTTGCCTGGCTCAGAAAGCACGTCACTCACAAACCGATACAAGCCGATAGCGACAGCAGTCGCCTGATTGGGCAAACACACACATCTTCATCTTGAAAAAGCCATGTGTCGAGCGGAGTTCGGACCTGAGCGAACGCCCAAGCCTCTAAAGCTCACGGAACCTCCCGACACACAGACTCTAATACGTCCGTCGACGAAATGCCCCTAGTCGCCTAGCGGTGTTTTGCAGCTGAGGACCCTGCTCGGAATGAGCAAATCTACAAGTCTCGCTGTTGCAAACGCCTTCTCTGAGCAGCGTCCTGATGCCGCGGCCCAAAATACTGCTCCACACATATCCAAGCTGCAAAACACGCCGCCTGCACATACTGGTTCTGGTGAGGTCTGGCTTTGTCCTGACCTTAGCCACAAACACAACCCTGTCTTCTTTTCTCCAAGCAACACGCCACGACAAAAAAAAGACATGAAAGCTGGCCTCCGTTGCTTCGTGGGCGTAGGAACAAGAATCTCCATTTTCGCAGCGACCCTCCAGGAAGAACTTGCACATGTCCTGTCGAAATAACGGGTGCGTGGAGGGATCACCAAAAGCACACGTGGAAGAGAAAGGCACATGCTTAGGGTCTGACAGTTTTGAAAAGTTGAGCTGCGTGTCTCCTCCTGTCATGCTCGACCGCAGTATCAAACCCCAAGTCGGCTTGTCACATTGTGGACTGAGACATGACGTCCTCATAGATGAATGTACTTGGCGATTCATTGGTTGTTTGCGCTCAAGCGCTTTGGGCACAAGCCTCGGACATCCCACCATTCTACGTGTGATGACTTTCGACATTTGCTGCGCCAAAT